TTACAGCCTCACCATCCATACCAACTACAGCACAATATGAAGGTAGTTTAACTACAGTGTCCATGCATGTCAGATTCCTTTAACACATTTATGCTTCCACAACATGAATGAAGTAAACAAGAGCTCAGCATAATGAAGGAGGGAGCAAATGGGAGCATCCAGACTGAATGCATCTGGATCACATTTCTAAAGTCAGTCTTATACTGAGATAGTTATTAGCAACCAGAGGATAAGAAATAACCAGAAGACTTTTGGTTGGGAGCAAATTATTACATTTGGTTGGCAGGACTGGATTATTGATCACTGATGAAACTGTTTAAATTGATAGAAATACAAACTGATCTGAAATGAATCACACCGAGTGAAACTGTTTCTGGTCCAGATGAGGTGGGTTTGGCTCCATCATGTGGCCAAACAGGATGACTACACGATGGAGGCATATGATTCTTTTTCTATGGATTTTTATATTGTCAGAAATTCAAAAGGTCTGTAAAATGTGGAAGTTTGTGCTAAAAATTTGAATATTTTACAAAATTACCAACATTGCTTGTCATTGATGTATACATGCAGAAAAACATTAAACATTTAAAGTCAATGCTTGATTTGGTGTTATTCTGAGAAAGAAGCTCAGATTCTTCCCACTGTGAGAAATTTAATTATAATTGTGAAAGAATTGTGGAACATGCAGATATTTGTTTTAAACCGTTTCTTTTGGAATTACATTTTTCCACAATTTTTAGAATTTAATGTTTTTATTTTTCTGTGTCTTTATTTTTGAGAAGACCCAAAACCTGAGTGTTTCCACATGAATCTTTCACTTCTTATTCATTAAGATTAAGCACAATATCCAGCATCATAGTTTAGAAATGAGAAAGGAAAGATGCTTCTTCATGCTGACTGGGTGCTTTACTGCAGGAGAGACTGGAGCCAAAATAACCATCATGAGGAAACAACATGGTGTGGACCAGGCCAAACATCTGGGCAACCTGGCCTTCAACATCTGGAGCAACATGGAGACCATGGTGACCTACACTCCTCTGGTTCTGGACCCAAACACGGCTGGTCCATTAGTCCATCTGTCTGATGATCTGACCAATGGGAGGAGAGGAGAGAAACAGCAACTTCCTGATAATCCAGAGAGATTTGATAGATGGCGCTTGTCTGTTCTGAGTTCTGAGGGTTTTAATTCAGGGAACCACAGCTGGGATGTTGATGTTGGAGACAGTTTACACTGGAGCCTTGGTGTGTTAGAAGAGTCTGTTAAGAGGAAGGGAGTCATAAAGTCTGGATTGTTCGTTATATTTTTCTCTTCAGGTGAATATTCAACAGATTCTCCTCCAGCTCCTTCCACTCGTCTCTCAGTCCAGAAGAATCTCCAGAGGATCAGAGTGAATCTGGACTGGGACAGAGGAAAACTGTCCTTCTCTGATCTGGATCCTAACACACACATACACACCTTCACACACACCTTCACTGACAGGATGTTTCCATATTTCACCACTGATAAAACATTAAAGATCGAACCGATGAAGATCTCAGTGATGAAGATCAAAGTCCAATAAAATCTTATTGATCAGATTGAAACTGGAGATGATCTGATCATCTGGAAACTTCTTCATCTCTGACTTTCAACTATTGTTTCCATTATAGCAGAAATTAATGTCAATGTTTAACTGAATGCAGATTATTTTTATCTGCTTAGTGACAAACTGAATGAATCTGAAATGACATTTTCCATCATTTCTAAGTTATTTGTGTTTCTTTGACCTTTTCCCTGTTTAAACTTTCTATATAATCACTTTTATTATTCAATAAATTCCAGAAAATACTGTGACAAACATTTAAATCCATGTTATCCATCCTTAATCCCAGGAGATTTTAATCTGGTCTGGT